ATCCTAAGGCCTCTAGTTTGCAGACTATCTGTCTGGGACTTAACCTCCATAATCATGAACCAATTCCCCTCATAAATCCCCTCTTACGCATCTATATCTCTGTCTGTGTCTACATCTATCTATCTCTGATAGGTTCTGTCTCTCTGGTGAACCTAATATATTGTATTACAATATATTATATTACATATAAATTTAAATATGAATGGCATAACTATGTTAAGGTTATGTAAGTGAGGCTACATATTGCAAAATTCAAAATAAAATCAGTATCCAAAATTACACAAAATTTATAGAAATTTTTTTGTATTCTTAGTTATAAAATGGGGATAACATTATCTAAGGCATTGTATTACTATCAAAATTAAATAAAATGTTGCAGGTGAGTACTCAGAAATATTGGCTGATGTTTCTATTATTGTTATTATTGACATTCTTTTTCTTCTTCTTCTTGATATTCTTATGGTCATCTTTATGGCTATTAGAAAGGCATGGGACATTATCTGCTCCTGATTAAAACACAATTTTATTTACCTAGAAATAGAGGAATTCTTCCTAATCGTGTGTCCCGAAGAGCTACTACTTGTTTATCATGAGAGACTTGTACAGTGTCTGGCACAGAGCAGTTACTCAGTAAAAGGTTGTTAAACCCAACTGAGCATAACAGGCTTTTGTTTTCTTCAGATCCATTTGGAAAGAAATGCAAGGAAGGATTAACTATTAATGTTGATTCGTCTTTCTCCAATTTCTCTGTTAGTAAAGATTTCCTCAAAATGACCTTACATCCTGAGTTTTCAAAACCTAGTTTCAAATTTTAGTTCAATTTCCCAACGTGAGGATTAAATTTTGCTTTTATAATGTCTGCTTTCGGTACTCATGAAATATAAATTTTCATATTCTTCATGAAACATCCTTTTCCCCTTCCTTTTAGTAATATTAGGTAAGATATTGTGAAGGGAAAGAAATAGCTAATTCAATTAACTCCAGTGACACAACTTTCTACAGAACTTTTTTCCTGAGAAATTATCAGATTTGTACAAGGATGATATTTTTCAAAACTAAATTTTAATTAAAAATTACTCTAAGCTTATATAAAATATTTCACTAAGAAATATATTGTAGATCTTTAACTCTTAAGTCAACTCTTGTTAACATGGCCTCAGCGAATACAGAATACGTTTAAAGGTAAACAGTATTCCTAGCGAAATAACACGGTCGTGGTTTCTTCTTAAGTTGTTAAGCATTGCCACTAGATGGCAGCATCAACTTACCAATTAAGGTAACAACATTGTCTCATGTTTCGTTTATTAATTGGAAGCATCGCTAAGATGTTAGGCTTGGAATTTTGGAGGGCCGTGAAGTCCAAAGTTTGTGTGTTAAGGTCTATGCACATTTATTCCGCAGGAAAGGACCGGAGTTTTCATTAGATTCTCCAAGTTAATGGCACATCAATCTTTAAAATCGCTGATATACTTTCACATTCGTATCTTTTGATTTGTTAAACTAAAATATAAAAGGAGAAAATAATTTCCCTATGATATGTAACAGAATTATGGCATATCTTTTCTAGAAACACATAGTTAAGAGCTTTTGACCCCATCATTGAACATTCTTAATAGCTCCTTATATCATCATAACGATCATAAATAAAAAGGCATAACATTAGCTGAAAATACTTTCTAGTCTGTCATTTGCTACTTCTCAAATAAATGAAAGTGAGTAAAATATGTATGTCTTTAAAATTACTGCTTCCACCTTTTAACATCAACCACAGACTAGAACGTTTGGCAGGTAATTATTTGTATGTTCCTGTAGTAACGTATTTGTATTTTACTCTAATTATTCAATAATTTAAAAATATTTAAAAAGTGATCTTCCTTTTCATGGGGTAGTACCTACATATTAATAATAATGGTAATTGTAAAATGCTGATGTTAATTGGGCTACTGGAACACTTTTTAAGAGCAAATAATATAAAACTTTTTAGCAACAGGTTAAGCCCTTTAAAAATTATTTTGTTAAAAAAAAACTCTGTAAAGTGGAAATTATTCTCATTCCAGAGATAAGAAATCCTGAGGTTCATAGGAGTGGAGTGACTTTCCTGAAGCTACATGGGAGGAAATGGCAGACACAGATGTCAAATTAAATTCTGCTTGGTTCCCAAGCTCTTCTTGCTCTTTACTGAAAATGCTCACAGCTTTCCTGGCTACGGGAGGGAGTTCCCCAACCCCTTTCGCTTCCCAGGTGAGACGACACCCTACCCTGTTTCTGATCGCCCTCCCCGGGCTTCACCCACTGTCTAACCAGTCCCAGTGAGAGGAGCCAGGTACTTCAACTGGAAATGCAGAAATCACCCGCCTTCTGCATTGGTCTTGCTGAGAGCTGCAGACCAGAACTGTCCCTATTCGTCCATCTTGCCTGGGAATCCAGTGCTTCTTGTCAGCTTGTATTAATATTGGGGCAACTTAAGGCTGTTTAGAAAGAATAGGTATCTGAGTGAAAATTGTACATTTTAGTTTTCACGGTAGAGTGACTCACTGGGCCACTTCAATGAGGAACGCTCAAAGTCAGCATCCTAGTTCCTCTTTACACTTGCACTGAAATCTATAATCAAATATGGGCAAATGTTTAAAAACCAGAGCTTTCATATAATGAAAGGTATACCTTTCTTTAATCTCAGTATTTTCAAAATGGACTCTTGAGGTGAAGTGTTTTCAGTGAGTTCAGATTTAGATATTGTTTCCATAACATTTTCAAAATATCTGTTATCTGTTGGAATATTCTAGGTTATTCTGTAATGACCAACCATCTTCCAATTTCTGAGCCTTTAGCTAATTAAGAAATACATTTATTTTCTTCCCTGAAGTACTTTCTCATTTCATGTTGGTGTATTCCATGCGCAAACTCTTCAGGTAGTTGTACACTCCACCATCTGGAACTTTCCTCCTCAGTTTGGGAGGAAAGAGGGTACAGGGGCTCTTCTTTGCATCTTCCCAAGAGTAACACATGCCTCTTTTCTTCAAATTGCAATGATCAAAGGAAGTTTTACGGCTGTGCCTACTTCAAATGGAGTGAGGAAAAGCAACACTTTGTAATGCTGTGATATCAAGGGGATAGGCATACCACATATTTATTTAGCATTATGAATGATTTATCTTCATTAGTTTGTTTGGGACACATTTGCAGCTCAAGCCTTTACAACTTCAGAGAGTGTAACTAGAGCTATTAACTTTTCTCTGTTATTAATGTCTAAAGATTCCTCAACCACTGTAAGGAAGCAATTTTGATATAATAATCTTTTGAATTAGTGTTATCTCCATCTTAGCAGGTATATTGTCAATTTGTCTGTTCATATTATTTTCTGCTTGTTTTATCTTACTGATTCTTAAATATAGTGTTGATGGTAAAACATAAAATCTGCTATTATATAAAGCATTTTTGCTTTAGCTATTGATTGCATGAATTTACAACACAGTTTTCAGAATCAATCTGATACTACCACAAAAAATGAATAACATAACTTTTTAAAAAAAATATTTTACCCTCATTTTCAACTAAAAATATGCAAATCTTTGATGGCATAAGGTGAATGTTCTGTGGTAAGACCTGGAGTACTTTGTACCTTTCCTTCTTTTGCCAGCTGTTTCTTGCCCATTGATATGGTTTGGCTGTGTCCCCACCCAAATCTGATATTGAATTGTAGCTCCCATAATTCCCATACGTTGTGGGAGAGACCCAGTGGGATGTAATTGGATCATGGGGCAATTTCCCCCATACGGTTCTCATGGTAGTGAATAAGTCTCGCAAGATCTGATGGTTTTATAAGGCATTTTCCTTTTCATTTGTCTCTCATTTGCTCTCTTGCCTGCTGCCAAGTAGCCTTTTGTCTTCTACCATAATTGTGAGGCCTCCCCAGTCACATGGAACTGTGAGTCCATTAAACCTCTTTTTCTTTATAAATCACCCAGTCTCGGGTATGTCTTTATCAGCAGTGTGAAAACCAACTGATACAACCAGTAAATCATTCAGGTAAAGGAAGAAAATACTTTTTAAAAGCGCAGACATATACATTGAAAACAAAGTCAATCATCTGTCTTTTCTTTGACATATGGATTTGTTTTGTAAGTTTAACATCTTAACTTTAATCACGAGTAATTATCCCATTATGGCTAGAAAAGCACTATCTAGAAATTGTCTTTGTGGCTACAGAAAATACATTTTTACAAAAACTTAGATATATAGATTCTAAAGATTATTCAGCACAGATATACATAAAGAAATTTAAAATAATTATGTGATATGTAATGTAGGAAGAATTAAAGCATTAATATTGATTCTTATTTAAATCAGTAAATACAATTTCAAAACAATTAGAAAATACAAATACCCTCACACAATAATGAGGGACACAGATAACTGACAGAATAATGAGGGACAGAGATAACTGAGGTCCTCTGGTGGCCTTCCCTCTCCTGTGCTGTGGCAATTTAAGAAAGATACCTTGTAAATGGAGTTTCCTTGCTTAGCGTGGAACTAGAGAGAATTGGAGCCACTATATCCTGTTAGAAACAAAGCACAAAATTATCAAGAAATAGCTCTCACTGGACTTATTTAGAATAGGAAACAACATTAATTCCACTTTCCCTTAAGCAGCCTCATTCCCAACATATGGCACACTCTGGGGACAGAGTGCCTTCAATAAAAACAGCAAGAAAAAATTGATGCAACTAGGTCAGGGAACTTTTATCTAATTGAAAAAGAATCTGATTATGTTTTATACTGATGTCTTCCACATTTATTTGGAATAAGATAAAGAATAAAATTAAATGGCTAAAGTAAATTCTGGCCCATTCTCTATGTCAAGGTAGTCATGTGAAGGGGAAGGATGAAACGTGAGACAGGGCTTAGTTCCTTTTGTTGTTGAAGTAGAGGGAACCCATTAGAATATAAGTTGAGAACTTTTAAATAATTTCTTTTCATCGTTATTAAAGAAGGAGTAACTCGTGCTTGCTTCGGCAGCACATATACTAAAATTGGAACAATACAGAGAAGATCAGCATTGCCCCTGTGCAAGGATGACATGCAAATTCATGAAGCGTTCCGTATTTTTGTACCAGCCATTGCAACAACGTGCCAAAATGTAAAGACCATTGATGCTAGGAAGAAACTGCATCAACTAATGAGCAAAATAACCAGCTAATATCACAATGACAGGATCAAGTTCACACATAACAATATTAACCTTAAATGTAAATGGACTAAATGGTCCAATTAAAAGACACAAACTGGCAAATTGGATAAAGAGTCAAGACCCATCAGTTTGCTGTATTCAGGAGACCCATCTCACATGCAGAGACACACATAGGCTCAAAATAAAGGGATGGAGAAAGATCTACCAAGCAAATAGAAAACAAAAAAAAGCAGGGGTTGCAATCCTAGTCTCCGATAAAACAGACTTTAAACCATCAAAGATTAAAAGAGACAAAGAAAGCCATTACATAATGGTAAAGGGATCAATTCAACAGGAAGAGCTAACTATCCTAAATACATATGCACCCAATACAGGAGTACCCGATTCATAAAGCAAGTCCTTTGAGACTTACAAAGAGACTTAGACTCCCATGCAATAATAATGGGAGACTTCGACACCCCACTGTCAACATTAGACAGATCAACGAGACAGAAAGTTAACAAGGATATCCAGGAACTGAACTCAGCTCTGCACCAAGCGGACCTAATAGACATCTACAGAACTCTCCACCCCAAATCAACAGAATATACATTCTTCTCAGCACCACATCACACTTATTCCAAAATTGACCACATAGTTGGAAGTAAAGCACTCCTCAGCAAATGTACAAGAACAGAAATTATAGCAAACTGTCTCTCAGACCACAGCGCAATCAAACTAGAACTCAGGACTAAGAAACTCAATCAAAACCACTCAACTACATGGAAACTGAACAACCTGCTCCTGAATGACTACTGGGTACATAACGAAATGAAGGCAGAAATAAAGATGTTCTTTGAAACCAATGAGAACAAAGATACAAAATACCAGAATCTTGGGGACACATTTAAAGCAGTGTGTAGAGGGAAATTTATAGCACTAAATGCCCACAAAAGAAAGCTGGAAAGATCTAAAATTGACACCCTAGCATCACAATTAAAAGAACTAGAGAAGCAAGAGCAAACACATTCAAAAGATAACAGAAGGCAAGAAATAACTAAGATCAGAGCAGAACTGAAGGAGATAGAGACACAAAAAACCCTCCAAAAAAATCAATGAATCCAGGAGTTGGTTTTTTGAAAACATCAACAAAATTGATAGACTGCTAGCAAGACTAATAAAGAAGAAGAAAGAGAAGAATCAAATAGATGCAATAAAAAATGGTAAAGGGGATATCACCACTGATCCCACAGAAATACAAACTGCCATCAGAGAATACTGTAAACACCTCTATGCAAATAAACTAGAAAACCTAGAAGAAATGGATAATTTCCTGGACACTTACAGTCTACCAAGACTAACCCAGGAAAAAGTTGAATCCCTGAATAGACCAATAGCAGGTTCTGAAATTGAGGCAATAATTAATAGCCTACCAACCAAAAAAAGTCCAGGACCAGATGGGTTCACAGCTGAATTCTACCAGAGGTACTAGGAGGAGTTGGTACCATTCCTTCTGAAACTATTCCAATCAATAGAAAAAGAGGGAATCCTTTCTAACTCATTTTATGAGGCCAACATCATCCTGATACCAAAGCCTGGCAGAGACACAACAAAAAAAGAGAATTTTAGACCAATATCCCTGATGAACATCGATGCAAAAATCCTCAATAAAATACTGGCAAACCGAATCCAGCAGCACATTAAAAAGCTTATCCACCATGATCAAGTGGGCCTCATCCCTGGGATGCAAGGCTGTTCAACATACACAAATCAATAAACGTAATCCAGCATATACACAGAACCAAAGACAAAAACCACATGATGAGATATCTCAATAGATGCAGAAAAGGCCTTTGGCAAAATTCAACAGCCCTTCATGCTACAAACTCTCAATAAATTCGGTATTGCTGGAACGTATCTCAAAATAATAAGAGCTATTTATGACAAACCCACAGCCAATATCATACTGAATGGATAAAAACTGAATGAAAGTATTCTGAGTTAGATCCATTAAGAGAGTCAACTTTTAATGACATACTACTCATTTCATCATATCCTAATTTATTTAATGTCCCCAAACTCCAGATGAACTCTAATTGAGTCTTTGGAGACAGAGGTACGGATTTCTGTGCTGGTGTCAGGGAGGTGTCTCAAAGGGCTGTTAAGGAAATACATACATTGAGTGCAACAAAGACGCATTACACACCAGAAGAGAGGGAAAGGTGTCACTTCCAAGAGCTGGTCTTCCAAACCAAGGGTAAGCACCTGAGATCAGGGGCAACTAGGAAGTCTGGCCGCTCTCTGACCTCAGCTGCAAATCAGAAGGGGGATACAGAATCTGGCATGACTGTCAAAGGATTTACTGCTGCGCCACACATGCACACAGGTGCACGTGCAGACTCCCTAGTACATCAAATTCCATTCAGTGATACATCCTGCTCTCACCTAGAATTTGAAACTCAGTCTTATATCCATGCTGGACCATCATATATTCACTTACACGGTGAAGAAATCAAGGGAGCAAAAAAAATGTGACTTGCTTTTCTGACTCCAGTGATTGTGCTACTCTAAACTGCTAGTGCATGGCATTTTCACTTCTTGGTAGTAATTTTCAGGTGCCAGGAAGGCACATTCCTACCAAAGAGTTTTTCTTGCTCCAGTGAAGGGAGCAGAGACCTGGGCTGCTGCAGGGGAAGGTACATCTTGATAGGCTAAAGAATCTATAGGAGATTCTTTAGCACGATTGGATTAGATATTTTCTGTGCCTTTTATTTCACATTCACAGATATTTGGTAACTTGTTTCAAATTCAAGATGGACTTGAGGTCTTGGAAGTGAGCCTTCTCTTTCATTTACTCTTATTTCTTATTTTGATACAGTACACTGTGCTAGGAAAGTCCACTTGAGGATAGATCTTGTTCTGAATATTTTGAACCAGGTTAGAAATAGACAGTAGTGGCCGGGCATGGTGGTTCAAGCCTGTGATCTTAGCACTTTGGGAGGCTGAGGAGGGCAGATCACGGAGGTGAGGAGTTCAAGACCAGCCTGGCCAACATAGTAAAACCCTGTCTCTACTAAAAATACAAAATATTAGCTAGGCATGGTAGTGGGTGTCTGTAATCCCAGCTACTTGGGAGGCTGAGGCAGGAGAATCACTTGAACCCGGGAGGCGGAGGTTGCAGTGAGCGGAGACTGTGCCACTGTACTCCAGCCTGAGTGACAGTATCTCTATCTCAAAGAAAAAAAAAAAAAGGAATACACAGTACTTTATTAAACCAGCTTCAAGATATGATGGTAATTAACCAATTACTCACTCTAGAAATATTTACTGAGTGTCAATTCATTAATAGGAGCTGTTCCTCATGCTGGGATATAGCAATAAACAAGGCAGAGGAATATTTTGCCCTATAGATGTTGCATTCTGGTGAGGAGAAGCAGGCAACAGATTTAATAAACAGGAGTTAGAGGATGACAATAGATGAGGGGGATAACACAGTAGAATCAGAGTAGAGTAATAAGGATAAAGATTGTTGGAGGGAAAGGGGCATGGAATTTAAAAGGAGTGGTTAGCATGTACCTTTGTTAGAAAACGACATTTGAAAGGAACTTAAAGAAGATGAATGAGTGAGCCTTGCTAATGTCTGGAGAATAGTGTTCCAGGCAGAGGGAACAGACAGTCAAAAATCTTTGATGCTGGGACAGAGACGGCACATTTGAGAAAAAGTGAGAAAGCCTTCAAGACTGGGGCAGAAGGAAGGAGGAGGTCAGTGTGGTGACTGTTAAGAGATAAGGTTCTTTAGGTAAGGGAGAGACAGATTATGGGTTTTAACTTCAAATAAATTGGGAGCCTTCACAGGGTTTTAAAAACAGAAGCAAGTTATTTATGTGTTTAATGGCCTACTCTGGCTGATGCATTGAAAATATACCATAGGGAACAAGGGTGCAGATGAGTTAGAAGGTGGTGGCACTATTCTTGACAGTAGATCATAGTGGTTTGAACAAGAGTGGTAGCAGTGGAAGTGGGGAGAAGTGATCAGAGTCAGGATACATTTTGAAGGTAGGAAAATCACAACTTTCTGAAAGATGGAAAAGTAGATAAGAAAGAAACAGGGTAGATTGATTCCAAATTTTTGACTTCAGATACTGGAAGAGTGGAATCTTATTAACCAATACGGGGAATGAACAAATCAATTTTTGGAACTGAAGATTAGGAATTCAACTTTAAACATGGTTACTTTTAAATACCTATTACTCCTCTCTTATTACACCATATTAGCACCTGAGCAAACTTAGTAATCTTCCAGTAGCAGAATTTTTAAATCTGAAATCATAACCAGCAAATTAATAGATTTTTGGGAATTTGTGAACCCATTAACATTTTGCATTCTTTTACATATGTACATATTCATATTTGAGAATTATCATTGCTGAGTTTATCAAGTTCTCAAAGAGGTTCATGAGTCCAAAAATTTAAGAGCATTAATTATTTGCAGATAAAGAAATTAAGAAATGCAGTGTTTAGAAAATATGCACAACTTCATAGGACTGTATTTTAAGGACACAAGAATATGTATGCAAATCTTGAGATGAAAAGAAAGGTGCAGTTGTCTTCAGCAAATTTAATTTCTCACTTCAACCAAGACAGCGGTAATATCCTGTATATCCCAAGATACGTGTGTATATAAGGACTGTTAATCTGCTCTGCCACACTGTATTGCAACAAGTGAGGCTATCTATTGTCTCATGAAAGTTTTTCTTTTTCTTTCTTTTTTTTGTTTTGTTTTGAGACACAGCATCTCTCTGTCACCCATGTGGAGTGCAATGGTGCAATCTCAGCTCACTGCAACCTCTGCCTCTTGGGTTCAAGAGATTCTCCTGTCTCAGCCTCCTGAGTAGCTGGGATTACAGCCGTGTACCACCATGCCTGGCTAATTTTTAGTAGATACATGATTTTGCTGTGTTGGTCAGGCTGGTCCTGAACTCCTGGCCTCAACGGATATGCCTGCCTCAGCCTCCCAAAGTGCTGAGATTTACAGGTGTGAGCCACCGCGCCTGGCCCATGATAATTTCTATAAGAGATTTTACCAAATTGGAATCATAGAAGTTTGGCGCTGGGAATAGGATCAACCAAAATTTTCAGATGGGTGAACTGTGTTCCTGGGATGCAGAATTACTTTTGTAAGTTATACAGGTGATTAGTGTCAGGGATATGTACCAAATATTGGAACCCGCAATCCTAAACCCTGTAACTCCTTAGTCAAATTACATGGGAGTAGTTGACAAAAATATCAAATTCTAGGATTTTAGCAAGATACTGAAAGACACCACCATTCTGGCTGAAATTGCTTATTTCTAGAAACTTGGCCTTATTTATTTATGTTTTACAAGCTCAGAGTTTATAATTAAGTCAGATAATTACCCTCCCACTCAGAATAATGACAGTTAAAAATTTGTAGATTGATTTTCTGTCCAGAAAATGGGCTGTTTTCTTAACATTGATGTTTTCTTACCCCTTTTGAGGTAAAAACATGTAGGTTAGGAATTGTTACAATACTTTTCCAAGATTACAGAACCATCAAGAAAGAAGATCTGGTTTTGAACTCAGACACCATATCACTTGGGCAATTCTACCTATGCCAGGCCTGTCTTTTCTCACCTGGGCTTGCTCATGTCTGTGGGCAGCTCTTAGCACCACTGTAGACTGGATCATATAGAAGGGCCCCACCCGCATGTTTCAGGGACAGCTTGCAGTTAGCTGGGGTGACAGAGTGAGCACAGCCAGATGTCTTATCCAGCAAACTAACCCAGGCTTATTTACATGGTGGTGGTAGGTAGGATTCTAAAAGTGAGAAGAGAAACATAAAAAGCCTCTTGAAATCCAGGCTTTGAATCCACATGGAGCTGCCTATCTTTCAATCTATTGGCCAAAGCAAACCACCAAGCCATCCAAGACTCAAGGGGTTAAGTATAAGAATTAGAATAGTAACTGGTACATGGTCAAAATGTATTTGTATTTGTAATATAAATAGCAGCTTTAATAATCTAATACTTAATGTAAATACTTGACACATAAGAAGTTTTCAATAACTTATGGAAAGATAGTGAAATTTTTTGAGTGCCCACTAATGGACCCAATATTGGGCTGTGTTATTTTTATGTATGTTTTCTTTATTCAATCAGTCTGTCTGTCAAGAAGTTATTAGTCAGCCAGGTACGATGGCTCATGCCTGTAATCCCAGCACTTTGGGAGGCTGAGGTAGGTGGATCATCTGAGGTCAGCAATTTGAGACCAGCCTGGCCAACACGGTGAAACGCCGTCTCTACTGAAAATAAAAAAATTAGTCAGGTGTGGTGGTGGGCGCCCGTAATCCCAACTACTCGGGAGGCTGAGGCAGGAGAATTGCTTAAACCCAGGAGGCAGAGGTTGTAGTGAATGGAGATCATGCCACTGCACTCTAGCCTGGGTGACAGAGTGAGATTCTGTCTCAAAAAAAAAAAAAAAAAAGAAGAAGAACAAGAGGAAGTAATTAGTTATCCTTGTGAGTTTCATTTTTTTTTTTCATGTTTTGTGAGCATATGGGACTTGCTCTGCATTAAATAGTTAATAAGCAAAATTCCTAATTTTCAAATTATTTTTGACTCCAATTCCAGTAATTTTTCCAAATCATGGACTGAAGTCCTATAATTCTAGATAGTAAGGGAGAAAAATCTACAAGCTTCTTAGTAATTGTTGCTTTGTAAATTAGTAATAATTGATACCCTTGTTAACTTGTGTCAATACAAAAATCACTAAGTGATGCTTTTCCCTTCTCATGACAGTCAGGCTTTCACCTCTGTGGACATGGACGTGGGATTTAATCGCACCATCCTGACTGAATTCATCTTGTTGGGTTTCTCAGCAGACCCCCAGTGGCAGCCGATTCTATTTGGAATGTTTCTGATGCTCTATTTGATAACCTTGTCGGGAAACATGACCTTGGTTGTCTTAATTCGAATGGATTCCCACTTGCATATGCCTATGTACTTTTTCATTGGTAATCTGTCTTTTTTGGATTTCTGGTATACCTCTGTGTATACCCCCAAAATCCTGGCCAGTTGTGTCTCAGAAGATAAGCACATTTCTTTGGCTGGATGTGGGGCTCAGCTGTTTTTTTCCTGTGTTGTAGCCTACACTGAATGCTATCTCCTGGCAGCCATGGCTTATGACCGCCATGCAGCAATTTGTAACCCATTGCTTTACTCAGGTGCCATGTCCACTGCCCTCTGTACTGGGCTTGTTGCTGGCTCCTACATAGGAGGATTTTTGAATGCCATAGCCCATACTGCCAATACATTCCGCCTGCGTTTTTGTGGTAAAAATATCATTGACCACTTTTTCTGTGATGTACCACCATTGGTAAAAATGTCCTGTACAGACACCAGGGTCTACGAAAAAGTTCTCCTTGGTGTGGTGGGCTTCACAGTCCTCTCCAGCATTCTTGCTATCCTGATTTCCTATGTCAACATCCTCTTGGCTATCCTGAGAATCCACTCAGCTTCAGGAAGACGCAAGGCATTCTCCACCTGTGCTTCGCACCTCATCTCAGTCATGCTCTTCTATGGATCATTGTTGTTTATGTATTCAAGGCCTAGTTCCACCTACTCCCTAGAGAGGGACAAAGTAGCTGCTCTGTTCTACACTGTGATCAACCCACTGCTCAACCCTCTCATCTATAGCCTGAGAAACAAAGATATCAAAGAGGCCTTCAGGAAAGCAACACAGACTATACGACCGCAAACGTGAAGGTTATTCTCTTTGCAAATGCTGTTATTGAATCTTCCAGATTACTGGCTTATAAATATGTTCGTTTGCATTTCTGTAGTTCATTTAAATTCAATAAGTCATATTTAAGACATTAAAAGATTGACCACATGAGTCTTTAATTGTTATTAGTTTGTTGTGATGTAAGCAAAACAAAGCAATATTTAAAACTTATAGTATTGGGTTGACATTCTGCAATATGGTATTCTGCCTTGGCAATATTCAATCTTTCATAGATTTCATTGTGTTTGCTGCCTTTGGGAGATCTTGGGGAACAAAAGAAATTATGTGGTTTAATGAGTATAGTTTGACTTTGCAGCTTGGTAAGCAATCTTTACTAGGTGACAAGAATATTTGAAAGGGTGAGACTTCTGGAAATATGCTCAAGATTTTACAAATATTTATTTTAAGAAAATCATTTCCTCAAAATTTCTCCAGAAAGCTCTAATTGAGCATATAGGAAGTATCTTTGTAAACCTCATGCCTTCTACGTAAAGAGAATATTAGGAAGATGTTTAAGACTTGTTCAGGTTACAAACAACAATGAAAACAGCAAAACTATCTCTAAATGAATAAATATGTGTCTTTAGAATTGCATATCATCCTAAAAGAGTGTTCTCTCTCACAAGGAGTGAGTACTCCACAGTACTCTCTCTCAGGTCACACAGCGATGTAACAACATCAAACAAAATGAAACAAATGGACAACAGTAACCACCGCTCCCTAGTTACCTTTCTTTTTCCTTTGTCCTGACCAAAACACATAAGCTGCATGTTTGCCCCTGGCCTGAACCTAGCCTGGGCCTTGAACATTCCTAAGAACTGATAAACTTCTTTAGGTCGATGCCTGAAATCCTGAAAAATCAAACGTGTTGCTAACCATGTGGAAACGAGGCTTGGCCTTGAGCCCAGTTCCCTAAACCCTGATATAAACTCCGTAACGGAACCCCCTTGTGATGGCAGGTTGAGTTGATATTTCACTCAGTAGCCTTTAGAAGACGGCAAGTTAAGGATTATTGGTTACAGTTATCAAATCAGAAGCTTGTGGCTCAGAGGTTAGCACTTTGTTAATGAAAGGTTATAGCATTTGCTGGAATGAGCACATTTACAAAATTAATTAAAATTTTAAAATTTGGGACATACAGTTGTAGCCATTTCATTTGTCTTTGCTGTGACATTTCTCATCTTTCTCTTCAGCTGCATTTATTTTCCAACACATCCTGCCTCTTTCCATCAAAATAATCATAACATGCTTATTCCGCGATCACAAAGGAAGCTGTTTGGATTTGGGGTGTATCCCACAAATATCAATGATCCATATTATGATTTCTTTTCATCTCCATAATACTCACTATGTAGGAAAAATAATTGGGTCAATATTAGGGGAAATAACAAAGTAAAATTTAGTTTTACTTTAGGATGTCAGAAGTATTACTCTTCCATTTTGCATTAATCGGAGATACTGAATTTTAAAAACTGTATCAATATTCACTTGAACCTACAATTCTGTAGTATCTATTATAGTCTGATATCAAAACCATAAAAAACAAACAAGCAAACAAACAAAAATACAAAGAAACAAAATTTTTCCTGTTGAATTTTGTTCAATGGTAAAAAAGAAATAAAAATCTAGTTCTGTAACCTCTCTGAGCAGTTTGTTATCACTTAGCACTGATTTAGGAACTTTATGTCAATTCAGACTTTGGATTATGCTGACTTGAAGAATTTTTTCAGAGCTTCTTTCACGTCTTTATTCCTCAGACTGTAGATCATAGGGTTCAACATGGGGAACAGCACAGTATAAAAGGTAGAAACAATTTTGTCCCTCTCAAGGGAGTAGCTGGAACTTGGCCGAGAGTAGATTTAGAGAATGGAGCCACAGTATAAGGTAACAGAGATGAGGTGGGAGGAGCACATGGAGAAGGCTTTGAGGTGGCCCTGGGTGGGGCGGATCCTCAGGATGGTGGCGACGATGGAGAGGTAAGAGGCCAGGATGAGCACAGTAGGGGAGATGACACTGGAGGCCAGCAGGAAGTGCAGTACAGCCTGATAGCTCTCTCTCACCTTGCATGCCAGCTTCACCAGGGGTGGGACATCACAGAAAAAGTCATCAATGACATTGTCACCACAAAAATCCAGTGTGAATGTGTTGCTGGTTAATATTATCGCATTGACAAAACCCCCAGTATAGGAATATAAAACCAAACAGATGCACAATCTCCCTGGCATAGCCTGAGCATAAAGCAGGGGCTTGGAGATGGCCACATAGCGGTCGTAAGCCATGGCAGCCAGCAGGTAGCACTCACTATAGGCCAGCCCTGCAGAGAAGAAGAACTGACACAGGCAGCCAGCAAAAGAGATGCTTTTGCCTTCAGAGATGCAGATCACTAGGATCTTTGGGGTGTAGACAGAGGAATACCAGAGATCCAGAAATGACAGATTTCCAGTGAAAAAATATATGGGTGTGTGGAGGCGGGAGTCATTACAAATCAACATGATGAGGGTGTTATTTCCTACCCCAGTCAGAGAGTACACGCCCAGGAACACCACAAACAGGCCCAGCTGCATCCCTGGATCTGTGGTGAAGGCCAGCAGGATGAACTCAGTCACTGTGTGATTGCTCCTCTCCATGGCTTATGGATACCGCACCTACAAATAGAGTAGAAGAGAGTTTAATTGCCTCAACCAACACCAAATGACGGCATTTTCTATGCTAAGCACCTGCAATAATATAATCAACACTAAGCAGGAATTTTGGCTGCCTTGGGCAGGTGATGGCAGTTTTCTGAGCTTCCATATATTTATTGTAATAAAATGCATTTAATAACAGAAAAGCCGTCATGCTATTGAGAGGTTTATTAATTTTTTTCTTGAAAAACAAAATATTTGTTGAGCCCTATGTGCTGTTCCAGACAGTGGGATATAGCAGTGAAGATGATAGGGCTGACTCCTATCCTACTGAGCTTTTATTCTAGAAGGGAGAGATACATAAAAAACAAATAAGTACAGTGTCAATTAATGTTAAATGCTAATAAGAAAATAAAACTAGATGATGGGATAAAAACCAACTAGGAAAGAGCTCGTCTAATTTAGACACTGAGAGAAGAAAAAATTCTTTTCCTGTTCCCAGCTATGGATGGACAAATTGTTCAGAGCGTATGAAAACTGAAACCTTCTAAACACTATGGTTTAGAGGGTGATAACAATGTATTTTTCCAGAATCACAGAAAAAATTCTCTGCTTAGTTACTCCGCAGGAGTCTTTGGTATATTTATCATGAATTCCAGGGAAGGAATCCGGTTGAGAATTAGGGTGAAGCTTGGGTAAAGACCAATGAGTTTATCTGTTTCTGCCAAGTAAAAAAATGTGTGATTTCTTTATGGGTATTTGGGGTATAAAATGTTGAGACTCAGCATTACTTGTTAGTCTCTATAAGCAGCCCTGGACATGGTTCTTAAAAGGATAGTTATCCCAAGTTGATATTGTCTAGAGCAATAGTTCTGAATGCCATAATATTGGAAAAATCTTCAAGTCAAACAAACATTTAGAAATGCTTCCTTTAGATTCTTGAAATAATATGTATAGTTGATGTAACCTAAATATAAACATGTATGTATGTGTATGCAAACTATCCTAAATCTAATGTAAATAGATGTAAAAGAAAAATAATTCACAATACAATGAAATAATTATAATATAGGTTGTATTATAAAATAATTTGAATTTCAATATATAAATGCTGGATCACTTAGTGAGATATAAATAGTAAAATCGGCACATGTAGAATCATCATTAATGTGTTGGTGACTCAAATATCAGGAGTCACGTTGATATTGGTCATATTTTCCTGACAAGTTCATCAAGTCTTGACAAAGTTCCAAACAAAATAAACCACAATCTTTCCTTGGTTTTATTAAATTGTTATATAGGAGGACCTTGCAAAATATAAGTTTTCTTTGTCTGTAGAGCAGAGTAGATTTCAAACTGATGTAATTATAACAATATTTTCTAAAGCACAAATATGCATTGGGAGTCTGGGTGTAGGGAATGGAACATTTTTCTTTGCATAGGGCTGTCCCTATGGATGCAGGATGTGTTCATACTTGTCTACTACATACTAAACATCCAGTAGTCCTCTTATCTTTGTGATAATAATAAATCCAACCACACACTTAAGAAATGCCCATCAATGATAGACTGGATAAAGAAAATGTGACACATATACACATGGAATACTATGCATCTATAAAAAAGAATGAGTTCATGTTCTTTGCAGGGACATGGATGAAGCTGGAAGCCATCATTGTCAGTAAACTAACACAAGAACAGAAAACCAAACACCACATGGTCTCACTCATAAGTGGTAGTTGAACAATGAGAACACATGGACACAGGAAGGGGAATATCACACGCTGGGGCCTACTGGGGGTTGGAGGGCAAGGGGAGGGAGAGCATTAGGACAAATACCTAATGCATGCAGGGCTTAAAACCTAGATGACGGGTTGATAGGTGCAGAAAACCACCACGGCACATGTATTCCTAGGTAAGACAAATCTGCATGTTCTGCACATGTATCTCAGAACTTAAAGTAAAATAAAGAAAAAAAGAAAAGAAAAAGAAAACCCAGCAGCTATGAGCACACACAAAGCACGAGTTTTGGTAGCTAAATACCATTTTTCCACTGAAGGGATCCCAGAACTCCTTAAACTTCCCAAGTTTTGGTCAAGGATTGCATAAGATGAGTCTGGGACATCTTGTGGCAGAAACTAAGAAAATATTCAAAGATTATAGGGACATGTTAAAACGACCCAGAGGTTAGTTTGAAGAAGTTTCCCGTGGATGCATTTTAGACAATTTCATATTAAAGGTATAATTACCATAATTGAATAAAACATATTGAATATAAAATTAAAAAAGAAACACTCTTTAAAGGATGTTTTCATTTATTGAGACTCCACTCCTCCAAAACTTTGCATTTTACTT